TCCCACACTTGCCTGTGGGTATATGTTTGGCTTTGCTATCCACTTACAACTTCAAATTATCCCACCTCCCCGCCCCAAGGCAGTGGCAATCCCACACCCTCTTTTTCTTGGACCCCGGGCGGAGTCTGCGTAGGTCCTTCAACGATGGCCTGCACATCCAGCGGATCCTGGCAGGTCTTTTGCTCCACGCAGGAAATGCAAAACCCCTCCATGCAGGTCTGCCACATTGCCATCGGCAGCCATCATCTCCCCTGAACTACCTGCACTCCCGTCCCCTTCCACAATCTCGCCCGGACCTCGTGGTTTGGGACAAACTGTACTCCGTCCAGCTTTTCCTGCTGGAGTGCCTTTGGAGCCAGGAAACATTCTGCATGCAGGAAAAGTGGTTTAATAGAAGTGAAAAAAAGGACACTCTCTGTGCATCTTCAGGTCCGAGAGAGCTGACGGCTCTATGGGCCATGGCCCGAACCTGGGGGACCCCCTGTGTCTTCAGGGCGCCAGCATGTGGGGGAGGATTGCAGTATACCCCACGGACAGGAGCTGTTCATCTCGATCTGCGATAGGCGCCGTGCCAACGCATCCTATCATAGATCAAAACAAATATACATGTATACATATATATATATATATACATATACACACACACACACGGAAAACCAACTAGCCAAAATAATGCATAACAAGATAACATGTACATATTCCATGTGTAGTTTTGGTATTCTGTGCATGTGTGATCTCAGGGGGCCGCTGTCATCTGTCGGATGAGCAGGTTGAAGACCTGGCCATCTACCCACTTTCGAGGAGGATCTACACAAACCAATCCACTTGGAGGTCTACGGGTAGCTACAAGTCCCTGATAGAATGGTTATAACACCCTTCAAACTATCGTTACTCTACTTAAACCCAGCGATATCTGCCCACGAACCTCCAAGCATGCAACTTCGGAAGTCCACATTGCTCTGATGCATACCTGTTCAGGTGTAGGAACGGATTAGTTGTGGCTCAGGGTCCCTCGAACCTTTAGGCCCTTTGGGCCCTGTGCACCCGACAAGCCTACAAGCCCCATAAACCCTCTAAGCACCCCCCAAAACCCTCAAAAAACCCTCAAACAACCCTCAAACAACCCTCTAAAACCCTGAACCCTTCTCCTGTGCCTTGGGGCTGACGTTCTCGTTCTGCCGCAGCATGGTCTCTGCCTGCACTACAAGCCCTGCCTGTAGCTGCAGTGCAAAGACACTGCACTGCAAGGCTCGTGGGAACTGTTGGCAGTGTTTACGAACGTTTTGAGTACTGTGTTGACTTATTTCGTACTTGCGTTTGCATTAACTTCTTGATTCTTTGAAATTTTGGGGAGAAATGGTGGAATGCACATCTCCATGCCCGCCGAAGGAATCCTGGCTCTAAGGGCATGAACACTGAAGCTGAAGCTCTTTGTCGTCTTGGCTGGGAGGATTCTGCAACCTTCATGTGGTGAGTTCTCCGAACAAGGTGATTTTTTTGGTAGCAATCCCTAAATGGGACCGCAAACTGGAGTACTTGTATACGCCGACCCTGCGACCCTGCCTGCAAGTCTTGTCTGCAGAAATGCAAATTCTCCACGTATCGTGGGGCAATCGTTTAGACACAAGTCACAGCTAAGTGAGCTTCCGTGACAGACGCTAGGGACATGTCACTTGCTTGATGTTCACATGCCAGCATGTCCAATCATTCTGGTGCAGATTGGCTGCTCATGAATGATGCATGCAATGCATACGAACACGGCGATGCCTGACAGCCACGGGCCGCGCGAGAAATCGGTTCGGGTTTCGAACATGAGTGTATAAATCAGGATTAGTGAGGAGTCTGCAAACTCGTCATACTGCACATCAGGTTGGCTGTCTCACCAGGGTACTGACTTCAAATAAGAACCCAAGAAGGAGCACAAGAGTGGTTTGCACCTGAGAAATGATGGACACATTCCCCAACCCTGTGCTTTTTCCATCGGCCAGCCGAGCTAGCTGTGGCTGGGATCCCACTCTTTGTTGGCCTCCGGCAGGACGGCAGGAGGAGATTCTCAAGGACTCAAGGGTTCAGGCTTCTTGCGGCCCTTTTCACATACAGTTCTGATGATGGCCACAAGCCCTAAGCCCCCCAAAACCCTAAACCTCATACCCGAAACACCCTAAAACAACCCTCAACCCTAAACACACTAAGCCCCAAACTCCAAACCCCATGCGTACGGGGAAGTTCGGCACCCTAAGCCCTAAACCCTAAACCTTAATCCCTAAACCCATGCCTAAGGGGAAGTTCGGCTTCGAGGCTCTGCCTTCCAGGTGGCGCCATCTGCATAGATTTCCTTCTTCCAGATGGGCACCTTCGCCTGGAGTCCGACCCCCCAAAAAACAAGTGGAGCTTTTAGAGGATTGAGGGTTTAGGGTTTAGGGTTTGGGGTTCAGGGTTTGTGGTTTCGGGTTTAGGGTTTGGGGTTTATGGCTTTGGGTTGAGGGTTGAGGAAGCTTCAAGGTTTAGGGGCTTCTACCCTCAGATTTCTTGTGGGGAGTCTTGATCTCCGAGTGCCTTTTGGGACTCAAGTCGGCTGTCGGGCCGAAGCCCACCCCCGCGCCGAGAGCCCAAAGTCGTTCCCCGACACTAAGACCGTAGGTCTTAGTTGGAAGGAAATGTCCTTGAAAATACAAATTATCACGAAAACCAACAAAACAAAAACTACCATAGAGCCTTCAGCTGGGTGTCGCCCCACTCTAAACCCCAAACCCTAAACCCTCAACCCCAGAGCGCCGGCCATAAGCTCGCTGGCCTTGAGAGTGTCGATGATGTAGCGGCAGGCCGTGAAGCCCTGGTGCTACGAAAGCGAGTTTGGGGGGTGGGGTTTAGGGTTTAGGGTTTGGGGTTTGCTTCTTAGATGCTGGGCTGTCGGGTAGCGCCTCCGAGGCTACTATACATGTCTGCGATGGACCCTACACCCTCAACCCCTGCAGCGTAGAACCCCGAAAGCTTACAAGCCCCAAACCCTCCTAAACTCCCGAAGCCTAAACCCTGAAACTTCTGAACCCTGTCTGCTAATCTTCCTTATAAGGGTGATATAGGGATTATTCAGTATTCTATTCTGTTAGGGTTCTTAAGCAAATAGGAGCCTAAACCCTAAGCCCTAAGCCCTAAACCCGCCCGCCACCCCACTCTCTTGTCTTTTGGGGTAGGCGGGCGCTGGTCGAGCGCTCAGTGAGACCCTGCGAGGGAGCCCCAGGCGGGCGACCGAGCTGGCCTCCAGGCTGGCTTACCTTCAGGCAGGCACAGGCCGAGTCAGCAGTTGTCATTGTATTGTATTATGTTATCCTAAACCCCAAGCTGTCCGCGCAAATTGTTGGGTCCTGCTTTGGAGGCCCCCTGGAACGGCCCCTTGAGACCCCTGGGTCCCTGACCCCCGGCCGCTGGGCTGGCCCTGACCCTGGCCCTGGCCCTGGGCCTGGCCCTGGCCCTCCTGGCCCTGGTTTGGCCCTGGCCCTGGCCCTGGCCTGTTCCAGTTTTCCACTTACCCCCTTGCGCCAAGCCAAGCTGTCCGCACACCAGTTTGTGTCCACGCCCGCCCTGGTTCGGGGCGCTCAACCCAAGCTGTTCTGCCTCGCTTCCGTTTGCTGCAACTTTGTGCCTGGTCACGCATCTTGTGGAGGGCCCCAACCTGACCTGACCCTGGCCCGGCACCCCACCTTACCCCCTTCGCGCCAAGCCAAGCTGTCCGCCACACCAGCTCTGTTTCCGTGGCGCTCTGCCCAACCCAAGCTGTTCACTGTGTGTTCTTCCCTGGCTTGAGCCCCTTCGCGCCAACCAAGCCTCGCTGCCTTTGTCTGTGCCTGGCCCATCCCCCCATAGCCCCTTCGCGCCAACCCAAGCTGTCTTCACGGACCCTGCCTCGTTTCCGTCTGCTGCAGCTTTGCGCCTGGTCCACGCACCTTGTGGAGGTCCCCAAAAAGGGCGTGAGTGCTGACTCATGTGATGCTTTGAAAAAAAATAAAAGGTCTTAACTCCTTGAGAGTTGTAAGTGGGCCAGACTACCGCGCGCTCCCACAGCGCGCTTCCGTTTGGCACGCCCTAAACCCTAAACCATTATAAACTCCACAATTTCACCCGGCCTCGGCGCGATGCTCCGAGGCGACGGCGATGAGCACGGAGGCCTCACCCAGAGGAACCACCTGGCCACGTTGAAACGTTGAAACCCTAAACCCTAAACCCGAAACCCTAAACTAAACCCTAAACCCTAAACCCTAAACCCCAAACCCTAAACCCGAAACCCTAAACCCGAAACCCGAAACCCTCAACCCTAAATTCGGCTTGCAAGTAACAGGGTGTATTGGGTTCAGAGCTTTGGGAAGCATTTCAGTCTGTTCAGGGAGTAATTCGACGCAGGGCTCTCCAGATCTGTTGCTTCGGGTGATTCGTACTTTCTCATGGTCCAAGGCCCTGGCGCCAAGGCGATGGGCGCAAGCCACCTTCCTCAGGGGAAGGATGGTGGGGAGGGAGGCTTAGATTCTCCAAGATCCTGGGAACCTTTCCATTGTACATGTTTGGAGAGCCAACTTCATTCTTTCTTGACAACTGTTCTCCACTTTCCAGGTTGCCAGAAATCAAGCTGCGCGGAAGGAACATCACATCTTCCCTGCACCGTCGGCACTAGATGGTCTGGCCTAGGTCCCAGTGCCGGCTGTCCTGACGCCCTTCCCACAGGCACCCTCAAGCACATCGCGGCAGATGCTCTCCAACTCCTGGCCAACGGGGATGTATCTGTGTAGGCTGGATGGCGAGGTCGTTGTGGAGTGTGGAGACAAGTGTTATTCTTCGTTGTCGGAGCTCTCCTGAGAACCTTCCGAGATCGCAGCTGGCCCGACCTCTACATCTCTGTCCCGACAGCTGAGCTGCCCTGTGAGGTGAACGCACGTTTTCTCAGGCTCAGCTGTAGTTGTTACTAGCATCTACTAGCATCTTCGTAAAAGCCTTGTTAAAAGGCGCCCTTATGCAGTGCCACCCTGCATTCCCAGATGCACCTTCAGCGCCATCGGCTCATATGCTTCGTACTCGAGCCGGACCACCTGCGGGCGATGCGCTGCGACTGTAGCGCAAAGCAGAGAGGCAGGACGAAAGGGCATCGGATGCATTGGCTTCTGAGGTGCCAGAACACTGTCGAGAGATCTGCATGCATCCACCCTACACCTCCTGCACGCTCGCAAAGGCGATGATTTCCACAGACTTAACGGTTTAACGTCCTACCGCCAGCATAGTCGGAGTCGTGTTTTTCCGTCACAGTGCTTGTTACAGATCAGATTCTTCAGCAACCCACCCACTCCATAGCCTCCTTGCCTTCGAAGTTATCTCTGGTGGTGCCTCGCAAGTTCAGGCAAAATCTTGTACGGTATCACGAAGATTCCGTGACTCGAGGAGCCACCTCCCACGCACCACCGGTGCGGCAAACTTGCACCTCCAGATCTGCAGCCCCGAATATCTCTATCATCTGCCTCCGACAAACTCCCTCAGACAAACTGAGTGGAGCCCTCCCCTTCTGAACACAATCGCCCTCATCCAAAGACTCTGTGTTGCCTGAGAATGTGGTGATGGCCCCGCAGCCGTTGTCGGACACCTCCAACAACGGTTGGAGGTTCAGGATTCTCGAGCCTTGGGAGTTGGCCCTTAACATAGTCCTAAACATGTGTCCTGCCTAAGTTTGTAGGATACCACGGACTAGGGAAACTTGCCAGATCCCACCCCTCCCCCCCCCCTACCCGCTCCCTCCCCCCCACGCCAAGGGGAAGCTAACTTGCGCAGGCCGGCCTTGTCAGGCACGTCCCTCAAACTACAGTAGACCTGCAAACCTCAAAAGCTACCTTCTTCATCAGCAAGTCGAGACTGAGAGGGTCGTGGCTGATGAAGACACACAGGGGCCCATCAGCGCCTTAGGAGTGCAGAGCGGGACTTTTGGGGGGATATGGTGGGCAGCATTGGCATGCTGTGCAACCATCTTGAGCGAACTGCTGTCGATTGCCGCCATGACAGCAAATGCGCAATAGGAGTTGCTTGTATAATGTCTTGACCGGTCTTGACCTTCTACTGCATAGTACAACTAGCTGGTATTCCCCTTGCAAGTCGTGGCTGGCCATATTGCTACATTCATGGCAGCATGCTTGAGCCACGCAGCATCTGAACATGAACGGCTGGACGTCTGATGCAGTCGTGGGCCGTGCTGGGCCAACCCACGGCTTCTGAACCTGACCGTGTTGCAAGAACTGCTTTCTGGCATCAGCACGATGTCTCACAGTTGTGTTTGAGTGCAGTGCTGCGTTCAGCACCACGATCATCTTTGGGGACGCTGGCAGCTGCTTTTGTTCGGGAGCACTGCTAGAGGAGCATGCAGCCAGAACATCACCTACTGAACTCTTGCGTGCAAGGCACGCGCACACACACCCAAACCAGGCCGCCTTCGCCTGCAGCGAATACTGCTTTAACCCACAACCACATCGAGAGGAACACTTCTGATCACGCTAAGGGCCCCAGAGGAGGCCAATAAGGGCTTGCCACAATGTAGGTGATGCTTGGCTGATCCACTCCGGCTCCCGGACCACATGCTCTCAAGTTAAACACGAGGCATGCCTCGACGACAGTTGGCGGAAGATTGCCAGAATTTTAAGGCCGATTGCTGCTGACAGAACTGGGCTTCAAACCCCTTACCTACCCTCAAAGCTCATTTGAGATTGGGGCTTGTTGGGTTTCGGCTGGAAGTAGTTATGCAGAACAGGCCCATGTTGGCATAGCTCTCGTCAATGCATTGCACAGACTCAGCCGTGAACGTTTGCAAAAAAAGAGTACTGCATGCAAGCTCAGCAGGCTAGTGACAATCTACAGTTGAACCGAGGCCGAGAAGAAATAAGCGATTAACAGTGCACACGTGTGGTTGAAAAGTGGTGATTCCAAAAAGGTATTTTGACAAAGCAAGCGCACATAAAAAACGCATTAGTGCTTGACAGGTGTTGTAGGAGTTGCTTCATAATCACTCACCATCGATCATGATTAATCACCATCGGCCGCTATCTTATTAACGTGTTCTTGCACGTTATACAAAGCTACGTGGAAATCAGGCGCTTGGAGGAGAGCGACCAAAATGATGCAAATGCATTTTCTTCCAATGCCGTTAGTTCTTGTTCCCTGAACCCTAAACCCTAAAACTGTTTTCAGACTTTCCAAGTGCCCCTTGTAAAGCCCTGCTGAGCCATCTCGCGAGCCGGGCAGATCCGAACTAAATCCGGCAACACGGAGCCCTGATACTCGCCAGCCACCGCCACTCTTGGGACTATGGGACAAAAGGATGCAAGCAACGAGGAACTTGGAAATCAAGGATCCGCGGCTTGAGAGTCACACTTGGGCTTTAGGGTTGAGGATTTAGGGTGTAGGGCTTAGTTGGAAACTCAGGTTCGCAGATTCGTAAACGACAGCTTCCCTTGTCTGTGGCCCGAAGACCCTACGAGGGCGTCTACAGTCCCAAGAGATGCGCGGTAGCCATCGCCTATCCCGCAGGATACGGTGCACCTCTCACTCCGCAGAGCCCACACGCAAAATGACGAGGGATTTCGGATGTTGGATTCAGGGCTTGACGGCTGGAGCCGACCTGAGGAGTTGTTGTTTTGCTTGCAGTGTTCGTCACAATTCGTCTGCTATTCGGGACCAGTGTGACTAGAATACACGTCGGGACATATCCGGGAAGCACGCATGTTCGGTGCAAGAAGTCCTGCAAGTAGCAGGACCCCGAACCCATACCTACCAATATCCAAACATTTCTTGCACTCATCTGCAAACTAATGCAAAGCAGTATTCAAGCATATAATGCTGCTCGGTACATAAAGCAATCCGATTTAGCACAATGGTGCGAACTTTATGTGGAGGTGAGAGCAGTGAGAACCTCGCAGCAGAAGAGCCTGAGCGCCTCATGCCTGAAACCCTAGCATTTCAGGCTTAGCGGTGCGGGTGAGCTGGGTGTCTTAGCATCCCGCAGTGCCTAGAGTAGGAGCCAGCTCTTTACACACGAACCTAAACGCTAATGATGAATTGCCCTGCCCAATTCAGGCAGGCAGAAGAGGGCCATCACCGAGAAGCGGAGATCGTGCGGAGGCACAACCTCACAGAAGACGCAGCTAATCCGAAGCATCGTGAGTGCTAAGTTGTTCAGGCATTTCCAGTTGGAGCGGTATCAGAATGCAGGTGCAGCTCTTGAAAGCAGCCGCTCTGTACCGAAGCAAAGAAATGTAGTAAAATTGTGAGCCTGTGCACGGGGATTTTTGGCGGGGTATGAGTTGTAATCTTACGTCATCTCAGATGCCCCTTAACCGTACCGTATGAAGCATGGACGAACAGTGAATGCGCCAATCATAAGAAGGATACGGTACAAAAGGCCTTTCTGTTGTAGCTCTTTTAGTGGGCCCTTTATGAGTATACTCCCGCAGATTTTGTATTACTAATGAAATCTGCTTCACAATCATATCCTTGTTCTTTGGTTCTTGTTTTTGGAATACTGGTTTGTGATTGGGAATTACTGATTACACATTGTTGCGGGAACCTTCTTAGGTGTATATTGTAATTACATCAACAATCAATTCAGCCTATTTTTCACTTTTCCTTGTAATTAGCTGTCTTCTTTCTAATGGTGCACCATTTGTCTCTCACTGTCCATCGCCCTTTCTTTCTTTTAGCTCCCTTTCTTTCAGTCTCCGCCCCTCTTCCTCTCTCCTTATCTCTTAGAAGTTTCAGGCGAGCCCAATGCCCCCCCAAAGTACCCCAACCAATACACCATATGAAGATGTAACAATTAGCCCTGACCCTGCTATAAAGCCCCAAACCCGCGCGTGGTCTGTAAGCCAAAAGAGTCCCAAACCCAATTCCCACGAGCCTGATAGGGCCGAAAGAGCCCCTCCAAACCCCGTAACATAATGAGCCCGAACAGCCCCTAAAACCCTAAACCCTAAACCCTCAACCCTACACCTTCTTTAGGGAGGATAAACCCGACTAAACCCTACAAACCACCCCCAAAGCCTTCGGGCCAGCCTTCGCTTTCCTTGCTTCGGCGGAGCCAGGCGGACAGCATGCCCGCAGTCAGCAAAGCTGCGGTGGCCACCTGAAGGGCTGTAAAGAGGGCTAGGGGTTTAAAGGGTCGAGGGATTTTAGGGCTTAGGGTTCAGGGATTTAGGATTTCGGGTTTTGGGGTTTAGGATTTTGGGATCTAGGGTTTGGGGGTTTAGGGCTAATAAGAGTTGTTCACGGCTTCGCGGGCGCTTTAGAGGGCCTAAGGGCTTGCAAGCGTTGAGAGCTTCGGGTTTAAGACTGATGAAAGCCTTTGGATTCATGCTTCCCCACCGCTGCCCTGGAGTCGATTAAGTCTATATATTTCTTTCTGGCAAAGGCATCAAGCGAAGAACCGAGATGAGGGTAAGAGTGCTTTTCCAGAAGGAACTCGAACTCGAACGTAGTCCTGTGACTCCATGTCCTTTGAAAGAACACGGGGCAAGTACATGTACTTTCAACCTAATAACAGGCCAGCGATGTTCGGGCGGTTCTAGGTCGGGCTTCTGGCATGGCAGGGCCTCAAATATTCGCCTGCAGAAGGTGAAGTGCCACATAACTTAAACATAGTCTTGCCGTGGATGTGGCAATGTTTTGTAGATTACTCCTCAGGTGCGAGCTCGCTATATTGCCATGCCCACGAAGTGGAGCACGTTCAGGGACCGAAGCTATGTTGATGAGCCCAAAACTCTACAAGAAACCGCGGAGCTGCGCGAGATGCTCAGGAGCATCTGCCACCATTTGCCTCGGACAAATGCTTCCAAGGAGCTGCCGCCCGTGCCACCCATGGGCCCTGGATGGGACCTGATGCAATATCGAGCTACCGAGAGCAGACGCAATAAGCAGAGCTTCTCGCCAGCTGGCCTGAGCATGATTATGCTGTGGGCAGCATGGTCAGAAACACATGGCACAGCAAAGCGTTGTGCTTCGCAGCAGACATGTCGAAAGCACAATCTCCTAATATGCTTTCCGTTGCTACTGCAAGATCTGCGCATTGAAACAGTGCCCTAAACCATAAACCCTAAACCCGAAACCCTAAACCCGAAACCCTAATGCCACCAAGCTGTATCACCCCCGGCCTAGTGGTCCCAGGAGACCGCTCCCGCTACTCCTCTGAAGTGACGCGACCACGTCGCTGAGCTCCTCGGCCGTCACCGGCCTCGGGACTGGTTCTCGTTCCTTTTTTGCAGGGCCGGACACAAGGACGGTAGAGTCTGATCAGCACGAGTCCCCACATGCTCTTGCGAGTGAGCCTAGATTGCACCCAAGGAAAGTTTTAGGATGCCATGTTCCCTAAGCCCTAAACCCTAAACCCCAAGCCCTAAGCTCTAAGCCCTAAACCCCAAACCCTAAGCCCCACACCCGCACCTCGTGTAGTTCCAGACATGTCCACGAAGGATCTTGCCCGGGAACAGCTCGCTGCCAAACTGGGATCGTGGTTGAGGGATCAGGTAACCCTCCTACGAATACATCTTGTGCTGGCACGCCTTTCTGCCTCAACCCGAACCCTAAACCCTTGAAAGCCTAAAAAACACCCCAAAATTAAGGGTCTAGTGGTGAAGTCTACAAGATGCCAGTACGCTGCGTGCGGCTCTCAGGAGATGGGGCAATCGAAGGTGGGGTGCCTCTCAAGGGCTTAGGGAAGTTTAAGGTTTAAGACTGATGCTTGCTTAGGGTTCAGGGCTTAGGGTGCCTGAAAGAGCTGCAAGCTCAGGGGATTGACGCTTCTCAAACTGCTCTGCTTGAAGGCTCCTCCGGACTGGATCCTCTTACCTGGTCTCCGCTGAACCAGCATCTTCTGCTCTTGAAATGAGTTCAGGGTTTAGGATTTTGGGGTTTAGGGTTTGGGTTTGGTGTGTGTGTGTGTGTGTGTGTGTGTATGAGAGTTGTTGGAAATCAGTGCCTCCGTAGGTACAGTGATTGGGTGATTTTTCATGAGTCCCC